ATGTGTATGTATGTGTGTGTGTGTATGTATATGTATATGTGTATATATATATATATATATAGAGAGAGAGAGAGAGAGAGAGAGAGCAGAATAATGGAATATAAAGAAAGATGGATCACTATAGCCTAGTTATATGGATTCATCTTTCTGCAGTTCTTGCATATCAGAGTATGCGTTCTGTCAGAACATTTGAACTGTGTCTGCATTCCTGTTAGCCCTTCGAGGTAGTCCAGACAAGAAGCACAAACTATGAGCACTAACACTACCTTTATTGTAAGGTTACACTAATAGAATCTTGCAAATCTGAAAGCACTTCTCCCCCCCTTTACTTTACTTTACTTTACTTTCCAGAAAACTAGAGACAGTCCCTTCTGAGACATTTCCCACACCCTTTTCCTTCTGTGGGCTGGGATACCTCTTGCATGATGGTTGTCTGGGCTACGGCTCTTCCTCCTGTCTCCCAAGGTCATTCCCACACACCGCTACAATTCCCTCTCTTACATTAAAAAAAGTTCTGTGGGAGAGGAAAGTACCAGGAATCTCTTGAATAGTGGATCCTGTTTTGCATTTAAGCTGCAAATCAGTGCTCGTTATATTGCACTGCTGCTAAACTGGCTCACACCAATATTGAATATTGTGCATGAGTTGTTCCTATTGCACTTTTCTACAGGATATTCAGGAGCTGCTGATGAGCTGGACAAGTTATTTAAAAGAAGCAGAGTGCATCTTTCTTCGTGCTCCACACAATAACCGAGCTCTCTTCTTTAGTAGCAAGCATGGTCCTCTTCAGCGAGGTGACCCACGTATCCGGGGCATTCCTTTCAGCACCCGAAGAGCCACCTTCCGTGAGGTGGAACGGGTGCACGGGACTTTAAGCGGTCTGCAAGTATATGGTGAGCTGTCATTTAATTTTTTCTCTGTTGTTGGCTTGGCTTTTATCAGTTAAAGATACTTTTTTGGTACATAATGCACTGCCAGTCAAATTATTAAGCTTTCTCTGGAATGATTTCTTTCTTTATTCCCTTCAGCACCACCCAAATACTTGAAATTGTGCTCTAAAAGCTTTGTAAGTAGTTTTCTTAGCTTTATCCCAGCACATCAGTTTTCTATCCTGCTCTTGTAAGTTTTCTATTCTATTATAGAAATGTGCTCAAAAATTATGCCATTGGGGTGCTGTTGGAAATGTAATCTTAAGTTGAGCATTTTAAGAGGAAAAAACAGAAGAAAATTAGAATCAAAATTATATTCTGATTCTTTCATAGGAAATAATACAACAGTGGCAGATCTGATTAGTTCTCCTCGGAAGACCTGGAAAAAAATAGCTCGTAAGGATGAAGCATCTACACAGTCTCAAGTCACTAGTGAGTAGGAGAGCCATTTTTGAAGCTGAAGGAATACACTGTTTTTCCTAATCTGCCACCTTTCTGGTCAGTGTAGATATTTTCTGCATCCTTTTCTTCCGACTCCTAACTTACAGAATGAAAAGACTATTACAGGTGTTGAAGGTAACAAAGTACAGGGATTCTGCCTAGAGTGGTGAGTAGCTTTAATGAAAAGTTCCTGGAGGAAAATGTTTCAGACAGCATAAAGTCTGCTAATGTATAGGGTGTGATCATTGCAGACTTTCATAATGACTGATGGAGCACAGGAGGATAATTTAAACAACCAGTGTAACCAATTGTTCTTTCTCTTTCCCTCTCCCCATTCTCATCTGAAAATGAGAAGACTGGGCTATGTTTATTTTTTTATAGTCTCTGTAGCAAGGACAGAGGAGGAAGAAGAAGTAGAAGTGGGGGAAGGAAATCTGGAGCTGGTGGAGGAGACACTAAATTTACTGGATCTACGTGAATTTGAAGTGACACCAAAACAGAATCGCAAAAAGAGGAGGAGGAAACCCAAAGCACTGCCAAGTAAGTGGTTGAAATAATAGTTATGCCAAAAAACAGGTTATACCTGTTTTTTGGCATAACTGTTAGGTTTATTGCTTTCTGGAATAATCTTCTAGGATAGCAACCAGAATTATAGAACTAGATAGACTTTTTGGCAGCTACTTCTTTTCACAGTCTTGCATATTGAGACAAGGGGCCAATGAACTATAGGTTCTGGGCAAAATAGGGCAATGAGATAGTCTGCTAAGAAGTTGGTGTTGTCTTGAAACTTCATCTGAATCATCGAGAGTAGGAGAAGATCTGTGGCCTTCAGATGTTGCTGAACTACAATTCTTGACTTCCCCAGCCAGCATGACGAGTGGTGAGGAATGCTAGAATTTGCAGATTAGCAACTCCCTATCTCAGGTGTAATTTCACCTGTTTTTAAATCCTATTGGTGCTAAAATGGCAAGGAGTTAGGGAGACGGATTAAAATCAGGGAATCTTCTAGTATGTGTTCTGTCACTTTTGAAACAGAGTCTAACACGGAGACTTCAGGAAGTCTTGAATCCAAGACCTCATTATGTAGAGGACCGGAGTCAACTGAGGTCCAGGAATGGCAAGAGTCTCAAGGTGGGTATAGGAGTATGTGTGGGATAACAGGTACATTATATAGTAGCCATTTTGGCCTTTATTCTAGACTAGGATCCTGTGTTGACAGGTTGGTTCTGTGACTAAATGCTTTTGGATGTGTTTTGTTTTCATATTTTGTTTTGTACTGATGTTTTATTGTGTTAGCTACCCAGAAGTGCTTTATGTGAGATGGGCAGCTATATAAATCCCAATCATCTCCTCCTTCCAAATAATAATCTCAAATGCACCCTGAATACCTTTCTCCTCCTCCCAGATGCTCCCAGTACACCTGTGCAGGATGCCTTGTTCACAGCATGTAAAATGGGAGATGTGGGAGCCCTACAGCATCTTCTGGGAATGGCTGATAATGCAACAGATGACAGTGAGTGCAGTGATAAAGCCACAAAACAGTTGCTCAACACACCCCTGGATGAGAGTGGCTGGACTGTTTTGCATGTGGCGGCAGCAGCAGGAAGAAGTGCAGTTGTGCGGCTCCTGTTGGAGAGTGGGGCTGACCCTGCCGTCAGGTAATGTCCATCAGGAGAGGGATGTATCAAGGCCTGAGTTAACCATGGTTTTAAACTGTATTTAGTCTCTGCATGGGATCTGCCTTGCAAACCTAGCAACAAGCAGCTGAGAAGCAACAACACGCTCCTCTGTGGCATTTCCTCCAATGTCTCAGTTTCCCTCCCAGTCATTCTGTAGTCTGGCCCCAGGACTTCCATAAATATTAGGAATTAATTCTCTACAAGAACCAGAGTACTCAAAATTGTTTTGACATATTTACACGGAAGTGTAAGTCTTCTGAGTAGCAAACTATAAGCAAGTTGTCCTATTTCATAGCTGGAAAGGTTTTCACATCTCTTTATCTCAGCATTGATTATTATTGAAGGAACACCTTTTTGTATCTGTTCTATGACTTTTGGTTCATAAAGCACCGCTATTTTATACTCCAGGGACAGACAAGAACAGCCTCCATACTGTGTGTCTACCAACAAGCAAACCCGTAATGAATTCCGTAGATTCATGGGTGAACAGCCGGAGAAGTATGACTACATCCGGGCTCAGGTGAGTGGAAACAAGGACTTGAATATATGTGTGAGAAGTTGGGAAAGATCAGGGGTAAACACCAACACCTGTGAATTTGAGGACAGCTGCTTACTGACCGTCTTTGCTCCAACCAACTGCCCATTTTTTCTCATTTTTATCTTGATTGATTTATATGATCTGTAATTTGTGGAGGAGCTTTACTTCTGTGTTTCTCTTATCGAATAGTCATTCAGCAAGCATTGATCTGGTAAGCTAAAGTTGGACTACATATGTCCCTCCATATTTTGTTCATATACCTCTCAACCAATTTAGTCAGGGAGGAATGATGGGAGTTGGCAGTCCATCAGCTAAAGGGCCACTCATTGCCCACCCATTAGTGAAGGACATCTTTAGGTATGGAGAACTTTAAATGTTCACTTCAATTGTGCAGTCTAGATTTTGTCTAGGAAGCATTCATACAGTGATGGGGAGAAAAGCTTTGTTCAGGATATAGAGAAGATTAATGTCCTCTTTAGGATCATTTTTTTCCTTGTTACTGGGATCTCCCCTATTCTGCTTGATTCACATGTGCAGTATAACCACAGGTGCCTGGACCTCTAACTGCAGAAATGGAAGCCAGACAGGCAGAACGCCGACGAGCACAGAAAGCCCTACGGAAGCAGCGAGAGCGAGAAGAGCGAGAAGCACAATTGCTTCTGGAGCAAGAAAAGGAAGAGAAAAGGCGTTTTGCTCTGCTCAGTGATCGTGAGAAGGTCAGGGCTTAAAGTTGCTCGAAAAGTGGTAGCATTTATAGTTCTTGTGTTTACTGAAATGTTCTGCTTCAAAATAAATATGTGTTCTCTGCTGCTTAGAGTACTCTTACATTATTATGGTTGGTCGCATAGTCAGCCAGTTGTTTTGACTGGATTTGGCATTTTTATCCACCTATCGAGTCCTTTCCAAGGACGTTGGATAGGCAGATGTTGTTGTTTGGCGGTGTTAAAGGTATCATCGCAGGATGTAAGCTGTTCCAAGTAAAGCTGCCTTTTGCAATTGGCTGATGGTGATTTTGTCAATGCCAATTATTATTATTTAAACTTATATGCCACCCAACTCTCATTGACTCTGGGTGGTTCACAACAATCAAAGAAATTATGATAGAATGGAAAAAAAAATAAAGAAAAAAAGATGGTAAGTGCAATGAAGTGAGGGCAAACTTCCAAACAAGGCTTCACACATTAAATGTATTTTGCTCTTTTCCTGTGACCCTTACTGTATCTGCCAATCAAACATTTTGACATGACGTTCTTCTGGTTTTAGACTGCTTTAGCAAATGACTTTGATAAAAATTTAGTATTAGTATTTTTTTCTGAAGAAGATAGTTGACCAGCTATTTTTCAGTAAAGATCCACTTCTTTATTGCCTTCTGCCAGACATTCTCACTGAAATGCAGTTTATTATATCTGTTTTGCCTTTTCAGAGTCCATCTATTCAAAAATACCTAGCAGTTTTTTGTTTTAGGAACGTAATTTTTCTGGAAGAGCCACTTAAAGTATCCTACTGAAGCACAAGTCTCCTTTTACTTTAGACATGACACATAGCCTTCAAATAAGTGAGGCTTCCAGTGAGAGGCAATATATTTGCTTGTCTGTCCTATTTTATGAATGTTCACCACCTTGAGTCTCCTCTATTCAGTAGAGGCTGGTATACCTTCACATTTTCACCAGGGCCAGGGAGAAAAGTTTCTTGTGTGGGGTATGTAAGATGTTGAAGAAATGTCTAGGGATAGCCCAGGGGCTGAAGGGGGTCATTGCACCATAATGGGAAACTGGCTCTCTCATTTTGAATGTCTTGATCCCAAATCCTCTGCTTAAATTGGACAAGGCTTTATCAAGGCCAAGGGTAGATATTGATGGAATGGAAAAGTCACTGTATGCCAGATCATGATTAATTTGTCTCTTTAGGAAATAAACTAACCTATCTAACAAAGTAAGATGGACCAAGGAAGTTCACCAAAGGATTTCCTTGAACAGAATCTAAGGCAACAAAGTCTCAGAAAAGCTCCAAAGGAAATCTGGTTAATACTAGCCACATGACAGCACTGAGAGATACAGTATGTGTTATAGCTTTTAGGAATTTTGACTGGATGGCTTCTAAGCTTGAGGTATCCTTATAGATGTGCAACTGAGCACATATAGCATCAAACCCAGAATATTAGCTTTAAATGATTTAATTACTGCTGGGACATACTACAAGTAGTCCTCACTTAACAACCCAAATTGGGACTGGCAACTCTGTTGCTAAGTGACATAGTCGTTAAACAAAACATCAAGTGATTGCTCTGCTTAATGATGGCAGTTCCAGCAATCCCAGTTGCTGTGGTTGAATGAATCCCATGCGGTCATTAGCTGAGGACCCACCCTGATCCAAGCCATTTTTGGAAGAAGGTAAGGAACTGCCTCCACTTCAACTCCCCCCCATCTACCAATCTCCCTCCAATCTCTGCCCTTTTGGCCATCTGCCTACCCACCACCACCAGTGGCTCCTGCCACCCGGCCCTGCCCACTACACCATCTGTTGCACTGCATGCCACTACCAGCTGGGGCCTTCTTTCATGCCACCTCCTTTCACGCTGGTGCAACCAGCTCCTCCTTTTGGGTGTGCAGGCTAGGGCCTCCTTTTGCTGGTCAGGGCTTTGTTTTGTGAAAGGAAGCCCCAGCCGGTGCATGAAAGAAGGACCTGTCCAGTAGTGGTGTGTGGTGCAGCACACACACACAGGCCTGTAGTTCCCACCTGCCAGCTTGTGGGACGTTTCCATGGTGTCTCCCCCATGCGTGGCCAAGATGGTGAGCCCAGTGGAAGGGAGGCAGACAACGACAAAGGTCAGCTGGGGGGGCAGTCATAAATGCAGGTGGGCCCGAATTTTGTTCATGTGACCACAGGGTCACTGTGATGGCCAGAACTTCAAGGACTGGTCATAAGTCCCTTTGTTCAGTGCTGTCGTAACTTTGAACGGTTGCTGAACGAATGGTCATTAAGTGAGGACTACCTTGTAGTTAGCCTATTGGCTTGCATACTTAATAATCACAAGGGATGCTCTTTAATCTCTTAGATTAAGCTCACTCCATTAGTCCATCAGATGGAAGACTGAAAATGGATACCTAAAGGTTTTGACTGATCAATAAGTCTCCCACTGATCTTCCAACTAATCGGTGGCTTAAACACTTTCTTAAGAATGCTAAAACCTACATTTTAGAGTAACTAATTTCAAGTTATTCCCTAGAGCAAATTCAAATTCAAAATTTATTTACAGTCCAAGACGAAACACTCCATAGAACAATAAGATGATAAGAGCTTTAATGCACCTATGCAGACCCACATGAGTTGTGGATAGAATAATTGCATCACTAGTATATAAGAGAATAGAGATGAGGTGATGGGCAAGAGATAGGGGATGAAATTCTGGCTTAGCAAAAACCTCAACAATGTCATCGATACACAAATTAAACAGTAATGGAGCAAGAATACATAATCGTTTTAACACTTTTTGGGTAGAGATAGGTTCAGATAGATTGCTATTGTGATTGCCCTTAATTAGGTGGTGGGGTAGTACCATTATGCAGTGCTATTATCGATTCAAAGAGATATTGATCAGTGTAGCAGCTAGTTTCCTCCAGTCTCTCATGTACTCAGAGGCTGTGATGGAATGGGTTGGCGAAGGCCGCGCTTGGGGAGATAAGCATTTGCTTAGCCCACAGAAAGAGCATG